TATATTCTTTGTGTGTGGAATATATGCTGACAATAACCGATAAATGATCACGCCCAGAGCCGCCAGTGTCAACAACATTTTGTAGAGAGGGGGATAAGTGCTGTCCCATTCCTATTTGTAGCATCCGGAGCCCTTTCAGACTCTCACACTCAATCACTTACAGCTGACGTCAGTTAAGTCAGTGAGGGTTCAGGGCTTGAGTCTTTAGGGGCCGGATTGGAATTGGGCCCTTGTCTCTGTAACGGGACGCAGAGGTTCAACGGGTGCCACGTGGCTCAGGGGGCCCTCCTCCGCTGCAATGCGGTTCATAGCTGTCTTCAAAAATATGTGAGTCTCACCTTACCTGTCGCTTAGGCATCTAAAACCCTGGGTTTTTGGGCGAGGTTGGACAGCCAGCTGTGGGTCCTTGGTGTGGGCCAATCGTACAGCCTGGCCTCCCTCCTCGTCTTGGCACTCTGTGGGAGTACCAGGAACCAAAACTAAACAAAAACTAAACAAAATTAAATGTATTTAACATAAAAGTGCTGATGCAGTGTACTTAGTTTTTTATTTTCATCATTTAAACATCACCAGAATGCATGAAACTCAGACTTTTCTGGGTGAGGCCCCTAATACCCCAGGCCTTGATTTCGAAATCCCTATTTTTAGTACTGAAGATTGGCAAGTATCGCTGAGGGCTTAGATCAGGTTATATTGAGGAGTAACGTCAGCAGAGATAACTGGTTGAATCTAGGGCAGGGGTAGGCACCCTTAAGCTCTGGAGCCACTGTGGCTCTTTAGCCCCTCTCCAGTGGCTCCTCGTGGCTTTGACCAAAAGATCATATGGAAACAAATAATGGTTGATGTTTTTTTTGAACATTTGAATTTTAAACATCAGTGTTGTAGGCCTAAAGAAACTCACACATTCTCCAGTTGTAAAGATGTGAAGCCTCTATACCAAATAAAATAAATGTTTTGGCCAAATATCATGTGTCAAATGAAATTGACACTAAAAAGGAAAAGATTATTTATTAGTTATTTGGCTTAGATATATACATATATACAGTTCTGTAGGAAAGGAGCAGTAGGTTATTAGTGCATTGTAAAATTAAAAGAAGAGAACTTATAATGTGCTTTTGGCCTTAATAACAGAGTAAAAAAGTTTAAGAGAAACTTTTAAGGGGGCCCAGTTAAAAAGTAATAGTCTACCTGTGGGATAGATGGTGGTGATGTTAGACTCCTTAATGATACAACGAGGAATTCACTTGACAAGTTCTGGGTATATGGTAGCAATTCGCAGCTCTGTACAGTCCCACCGAGCATTCTTGGCGATGACAAACCGATTTAATTAGCTCAG